TATGAAATCTGAGCTTCCAAATGATTATGATGAGACCTTGGGACTGTGGCAATAGTAAACACATGTAAAAAAACATTTTCTTCTCCATGTGGGAAGTGCAACGCCTATTCTATTTCCATCCTTTACTCACTTTCTGTGATTGCTGGAGGGCATTTTAGATGCAGTTGCTCAGACTATTCAAGACCTTTTAAAAAAAAGTTGTCATTTCCTAGAAAGTAATTTAAGCCTCCCACGCTGAACAAAAAACATATGTGGCATATGCAAATGCTGTTCAAGCAGCATGTGGTTTACATAACAATTTATACGACGATGGCTGCTTTATAGCTGAGGCCAAAGGCAATCAGATTTTACACATACTCAGGTCACCCCTCTGTCTCTGCACTGGAACAAACGTGCTCTCCCAGTGTGGATCGTGACAAGAGCTCACATTGCATGGCATGTAAGTGCTGCAGTTGTTTTTGATCTCAACTGGGGAAGGATGGATAAATAGCCTCATGTTTCACTTCAGTAAATGACCTCACAAGTTCTGCTGGGTCAATGGACAGTAATCAGGAATCAGTTACTTCTTCAGCTTTGTAGCAAGAACACAGAGCAGTTCTTCACTAGGAAATGAACTAAAGCTAAGGGTGGGAGGTGGGGGATGTGGAGTAGGAAGGCGGGCAGCTACTGCTTCATTTCCTTTTCTGCTCTGATTCCTCTGTAATAGAAATTCCATGAAAACAACTTAACCTGAAGAAGAATTTCAGCAACAAATCATCACAAAGAAGCCATGAAAACCTGTTTAATGCTTGCAGGTGATGTCAGGAGCTCATCATGTGACTAATAGCCATCTGATACACAAATACTTTACAACCATAGAATCTAAAGACAGAAAACTAAGGTCAGTTTAGTCTACCTCTTGCTTTACCCAGTGCAAGATTTTTTTTGCATTTTCTCAATGTATTTTGCTACTCTTGTTGTGCTGTTTAATTTTAAGATTTCCACATAACCCAAGAAACATCTTCTAAACTCCTGGGGAAATTAAGATTTTATATCTTAGCATCAAGAGTTTTCCCATCCCCATCTCCCTGTTAGTGTTTCATGAAATAAATAAAGCAGTTGCTTATCTTCTTTCACTATTCTGTGCTATAGCAACTCCGAATCACATTAAGTAATTATCTCCCCTATGCATTCACCCAAGAATTTCCATATTTGAGCCTTGTTTTGGCTTTCAGAAGTTATTGTATTTTTTTTTTTTTTTTTTGTACAGTAGCACATTGGTATTCTTCTCTTTCACTGTGTTAGCAACATGCTGACCCCAAAACTAATGCAGTATTTCATGCAGATTTACTGGACTCAGAGGAGTCCTCTCATTTATACTCCCTACCATGCAGTATTTGGTCATGCACCCTGGAATTTCAGTGGCTTTTTTCCCCTGACTGCATCCCAATTATCTCTAATGCAAGTTCAAAATGTGTTTTCCCAAATCCTCTTTCCCTGCACTATTTTAGGGCCGATTTATGCTCACCTAACTTTTGATTATTGCTGTTCTATTTCTTCGTATTTTCCCTTTATTTGAAAGTCTTCTCACTTCAACACTGTATTTCAGTAATGGGCTGTTTTCATATCTTCTTTCCTCTCTCCATCACTGTAAATACAACTAAAACCTCTACATGATGATAAAAACAGCTGCATTACTATTCACTGCTATTCAGACAACTTTAAACTCACATATCTTTCTTTCTATTTTGTAAATCTGAATTTATTTTTCAAGAGTTCATGAGAAAGCATTTTGTTTAATATCTTTATCAATTATATTGATGAGGGAGTCAAGTGCACTCTCAGCAAGTTTGTAGATGATGCCAAGTTGGGCAGGAGTGTTGATCTCCTTGAAGGTGGGTTAGCTCTGCAGAGGAATCTGCATAGGCTGAATCGATGGGTTGCATTTAATTGTATGTATTCAGTAAGACTAAATGCCAGGTGCTCTATGTGCCTGATAATATCTCCAGGCAGTGGTGTGAGCTCAGGGAAGTGTGGCTGGAAAGTTGCCTGACCAAAAAGGACTTGAAGGCACTGGTCGATAGCCAACTGAACATAAGCCAGCAGAGTGCCCAGAGGGCCAAGAAGGTCTGATGCATCCTGGCCTTTATCAGAAATAGCATGGTCAAAAGGCCAAGGGAAGCATCATCCCCCTATATGTGGCACTGATGATGCCACATCTTGAGTACTGTACTCAGTTTTGAGCCCCTCGGTACAAGAAAGATACTGAGTTACTAAAACGTGCACAGAAGAGCTGTGATGCTGGTGAAGGGACCAAGCCAGGTGAGGAGCAGCTGAGAGAACTGAGCTTAGTCTGGAGAAGAGGAGGCTGAGTGGAGACCACATCACTTTCTTACAACTACGTGAAAGGAGGCTACACTGACTGTTGGCCTCTTTACTCAAGGAAATGTGCAGCACCGGGAGAGGTTTCAACAGGATATCAGCACAAATTCATTAATGGAGAGGGTGGTCAACGTTTGGAACAGGCTGGCCAGGGAGGCAGTGGAGTTGCTATCCCTGAAGGTATTTAACAGATGTGTGGATGTAGCAGTTAGGGACATGGTTTATTGGTGGACTAGTGTTAGGTTGTTGACTGGACTTGACGATCTTGAAGATCTTTTCTAACTTAAATAATTCACTGATTTTATTATAGACGTAATACTCTCCTTTCAGCCACTCATTTTCAGTTCTATTTCAGAACATTACTTTACAGCCTTGTAGTAGGGCAGTCATTTGAAAAGGGAAAGTGAGAGCATGAGGAGCTGAAGAGGGTCATGTACAGCAGGCTTCTTCTAGGATTTGGGCAAAAGAGCACAGTTATTATAACCTCAGCAGTGATTATCTGACATGAGCTGCTAGGGGCATTTGCAGAAGTAGAAGTCTAGGCAATTAGATAACTTCCAAGTTGAAAGTGAAGGCATACGGTGACCTGAGATGGTCCCAGTGTTAAGCACACACACAAAAACGTGCCTCTGTTTATTTGCCTCAAATATGTCTATGATCTTTACTGGATCTAGTCCAGGGAGAAGTGCTGTAAAACACATATTCTGCTTCTGACCACATTCACATCAATGCAAACACCGCTCACAGCTCTTAGTGCTGTTATTTGCAATGTAGTGTTATTACAGATATCAGAACAGATCCCTAATATAATGTAAGAAAAATCCTTAAAATTTACATAGAAACTAGATTTAATGTATAAGTTTGACTACACCGTGTCTAACTCTTGCATTATATCCAGTTATCCATTATATTTTCTTAAATAAAAACTGGCACTGGTATATAACTTTGTCACTTTCATTAACATCAATCAGTGTAGATCAGCCAGTTTGCTATTTTTATATATAAAAATAGAATAACCTTCCAACTCAGCAAATGCTTTTCTTTGCTTTACCATATAACTTCACTGCTGTTAAATAAGAGAAGGGACTACTCACTTTCTTCCTCAAATATTTTTCTGCACTGATGTATCTGTAAATTACTTTATAATTCCCCATTTCCTTTGTTAGCACAAAGTAATTAAACTAATCCATCCCCTGTAAACCTCAGTTGACTCGGTGTCCTTTACTGTCATTGCATCTTTTTTTTTTTTTTTTTTTTTTTTTTGGCATTTTTTCTTAACTTCTAATCCTCAAATCTACATCTGAAACTTTGTTTTCCACACCAGTTCTCAGTCATCTTTTGGCTGCAGTCTTTTTTGGCTCTTGCAGCCAACTAGCACACTGATGAAATCTTGGTTCTTATGAAATCAGACTGACGGTCTCCACCTAAATCCATTATTTACAGAGATGAATTTCAATAGCACTTGTGTACAGTCTCCAGTTTCTCATTAAGTAAGAAATACTAAGATAAGGACAGGTTTTTCTGCAAGACAACAAAAACAATCATGGTTTATTAAAGCACTCTGGATGTGGCCTTGCTTCCTTTACAGAAGTCAAAAGGAGGTAAACTCTTTGCATCTTTCCTGAACATGACATCAACCTGCTCTGCACTCAGCCTTTTTAATGTAAATAGATCTTGACCCTTGCATACTGCTACCACGTCATCTGGGTTCAATTCACCTACTGACCAGAATACTCAGTATCAGCTGTATTACATATGAAGATGCAGATCTAATGGTTTCCTGTTGAGACAGTGTTATCTCGGTGTGCTCCCATAAACACTCTACAAAGTATTCAACATCCTATCTCCACTGCTCCTCTTCCACTCCTGGCAAAACTGGAGCCCTAAGAAAGCCCATCACAACCCTTAAACGTTTTTATAATCCAACAACAGAACCATCCTACATTTTGGTTCTGCTTCCAGGACTGTCTGCATGCTTATCCAGCCTCTGTCTAATCTGGAATGCAGAAATAGTCTAACAGTCAATGACACATAAATACAATTTTAAAGCACCTATATAGATATTGTTTTGCTGGTATTTGTAAATTCTACATTTGGTGTCATTTCATTAACTAGCAGTTAAAGTTCAGTTAACATTAACTAAAACATTACTTTTCAGCACATGCTCATTTAAGTGTTCCACTGTTAAAGAACTTTTCCTAAACCTGCCATCTTCCCGACCAGATCCTATACTTATCCACAGATGCAGTAGCAAATGAATTATGTATACTACCTTTACTTTCATCTGTGTAAGTCAAAGTGTATGCTTTTGGTCTTACACTTTGCAAAGTTCCTGTTTTGACAGTATTCCCTGTGATAATTTACAACTCTGTCAATTTCTACGCTTTGCAATTTAGCTACTGTGCTATCTATTCTGGTAGTGGTTTAAAGTGTTTTCTCATCTCTCCCAGATGAAAAATTGTAGTATAAACCTTGGTTGCTGCCAGCAGCAGCACAGCACAAGCTGAATATTGTACTGGCCTGACATCTACTTGCCATACTTGCACTCTTTTCCACATTCTAGGTTGCTTTTGCACCACTGATACAATAAAAAAGCCAGCAAAATCTAAAAACTTTTGAAGAGAATACAAATTTATTATATAGGTAGTGGAGAAAACTATAGACTAATCTCCATTTTCTACAGTTATTCCAAAGCTAGAACAAAATACTAACAATTTTACCTCACCATTAAACTCTTGGTTCCATTTCAGAATCCATGTGAAATGTTTCTTTGGCTGAGTGTATGCTTATACATACACTAAAAAGCTGCCACTACACTTTGCATATACAAAAACATACCTGCATCTTAAAGAACAACAAAAAAAAATCTCTACTAGACGCCCTTACTTCCTTCTAAAGGCTTTCTTTGAAAATTTAAGCTGTTTTTTTTTGTGCTTTACTTATAAACAACAGCATCTCATAGCTGAAGAAATCAGCCATCATTTCTGACAAAAAGAAATTACTGTAGTTGCTAAGCTAAGTGGGCAACAAACAGTTCTGCTGCTAGCTCTGCCACTGTGCAAGCTATCCGCTCTTCCATTTGTAATATGGGCAAAACATGACCTTACCTGCTAGGGTCTGTGCAAACCTTCCAAACATAACTATTAAGGAATCTAATTGGGCATGGAATGAGAATTTAAAGTTATGTGCATGAAGCAAGTCATGAGAATGGTCAGTTTTCAGCTTGTATTAAAAATCAATTGCCCTACGGATTTGTATTGAAACAGCATTACTTCAGATATTTGTTAATCCATAAAGAGATACACTGCGCACTTGCAGCATCTATGGACAATAAGAGCACCAGAGTAGAACAATAAAAGATGAAAGTTGGCAGAATAACTGAAGATAATAGTAAACTGCTCATACACTCCAAAGTTTTTTGGGACCACAATTCACAGGAGAAGCATTAATGAAAATTGCACAAAACCAAAGTACTGCAACCATACAGAAAGTTACAAGAATACTGGACAGACAACAGTTGGAGCAGTATTCAAGAGATGATAACATACAGTTACAGAAGGAGCTAAGGTGGAGGATATATAACAGACACTCTTCATTTAAAATTACTTAATAATATCCATGAGAAGATGAGTAATTTTAATGTAGGTTTTGATTTTGCTCTGATTTATCTAATGCTACCAAAATAACAACGATAGGATAAGATGAACTTATGAGGTGCAGTACCTTGTAATTCATGTTCCTAGAATAGGAAAACATATTGCATCACAAGATCTGATAATTTATTTCAGTTCTGTAGCTTAATGAAGCTACTGTTCTACACTGCAACTTTTCCACTCTGTATAGGTTGTTTGCACTACAGACTGAATGCAAGCAGATTATATATTTAAAATGTATTTTAATGTATTATTAAAAAAATCCAGAAATGCTTATGTTACACAGATCCAACCTGCATAACAATCCAAATTATTACTCTAAGCTACAAAATGTATTATAATCAACCTTGTTCAGGTACAATCTGCAGGATGACTCTTATGAAAACAGAGCCAACACCATTTAAGTCATCAAACACACAAAACATTTTAAACTTGAAGATATTTCAGGTACTGCTTCCATATAGTTGTAGGAAAAAATATTTATTCTTAAAATGAAGTATACTCAAACATATTTGTATATTTTCTGTTATGAAGTTTGATTTTCCTTGTTCAGTTCCGCATTGCCAACATGGCATTTATGTCCCAAATGAGATTCCGTAACTGATCCATGATCTGCTTCAGTTGCTGATTCTTCAGTTTCAGTTTCTGTGGGAAGATTTTATGAGAAGATTTTTGTCATCAGTTGAAACAGTACACTCAGGATTTCAAGAAAAGTTAGTGTTATGAAATGCTATATGTATCTTTTTGTCAGCTGTCTGTGAGCAATATTAGATAATACATCTTCTTTAAAGCACACTCTTAAAATACAAGAAAGACTCAGAAGTTAAAGACCTTTGTTAGAGAGGAGTGCTATTTCTTTTCACAGCAGTCTTTTATCAAAACACTTGATCCCTTCAACAAGAGCAAACTTCTGGCCATTGGCCCTCTAACCAAAGTCCAAAAGACAGCACTTGATGCAAAGAGAAGGAAGTGAAATTTGAGACCAGAAGAGCTCAGGGAACAGCTAAATTTATGCTAATATGCACTGTATAAGTTGGGTGCTCAGAAAAGCAAGGTATTAAAAGTCAAAGTCTGAAAAACCACAAAGTCAATCAAGCTTTTCTACACCTTCTGCCTACGTCGGTCAATTCTGATGAGCTAAGTGATGCTGTCCTCCCAAGTGTGCTGAATTCTATAAAACTGTGTACTTGCTTTTGTGAACTGCAGAAACATCTGAAGGGACAGCAGAATAGAAAATACACTTTATCTGAGCAACCAGAACTTAAAAATTACATCTACAGAAGATCAGTGCATTAAGCCAATGCAGAATATTCCTAACTGTTCATGTTTCACAGCAATACACGTATTTATTATCCAATTTATTCATTTTCCCGCTCAAATCAAAGCTGCCAAGTAATAAGTTAGTGTGTATTGTTAACAACAAACCCATGCCCTTCATTCCATTCAAATGTGATATAAAGTCAACCTCCTCACGTCAGAGATTGAATTCATAATGGAAGTCCAGATTTCTAAGTAAAGCCAAAGCACAGGAAAGACTTGCTGCCATTCAAAATGTCTCAGGTTTTACATCACTTTGTTTCTTCTGTACTACACAAATAGCAATACATTAAAAGAATAACTCAGCTCAGTAACTAAAGTAACTGTAACAGTGACAAAAAGAAGCAACAAAAGAAGCAGCATACTGAAAATGAGAGCCCTGTCTTTTCAGGTGAACAACAAACCAATGCCGGTCAGGCTCAGAAAGAAGTCCAGAGGAAAAGAGAAAAAAAAAAGCCTTTTCATTTCAGACCTGTAAAAAGTCTTAAGAAATACAGTAATTAAATTTAGGAGAACACTGTACTTTGAGAAAGGGAAATATTTCTGAACACACTTCGGTGGACATGTTCCCTGGAAGCAGAGCCCACACTCTGACTCCTTTCTGACTCCTGAGAAGAAGGTAAGTAGGACTGTTCATGTGCACTAATTTGGAAGTTCTAAGCAAGCATTTGATTGACTAAAAATCATTTTAACAGTTACAATGTGCATTTCTCTAATCTTTTTCCATTTGCTAATTGAAAACTGCACTATATAGAGCAAAGATTCCATTCCGGAAGACAAGAGGGAGAACTGAGAGAACAATGTAGCTATGACAACATTTAAATGACATAATTTTGCTTCCCTACAAAACATAATGACATAAGAACTCAATGCTTTACAGAGTACAAGAGATGATATAAACAAGCACGTTCATACCTGTGGCATTTAAAAACGCATTTCCATTTCCCACCCTCAACATTTAATCTCAGAGAAATCAAGAAATGTAACATCAAAACAACTAGCTTAATGCAAACTGTCACTCACTGATACCAAGGGCACATCAGTTCATTATTTTTCAAAGCCTTCACCAAGAGAAGTGAAGGATGAACAGTCAGTGATGATTACGTGTTAGACAAAGAAGAACCATTAACCTCTGGTGCTGCAGACTGTTTTCTCTCCATCCCTTTTTTACTGCACTGTTACATGTTTTTAATGTAGATATGCCCGTATGAACTTTGCATAAGTTACATTCAAAAGATTAATTCTATAAGACAGTAATTTTCATTTCTTGTGCAACTATTATGAAATAGGATTTTTACTCTAGACAAGTGAACTCCTGAACTGGATTTCATTTGATTTCAAAGTGTCTGTAAAGAGGTGAGTAATATATTTTTTATTATATCTATCTGAAGATAATTTTAAGTCCTTTTCTTTGGTATTTTATTTTTTTAGCTCTTCTACTTCTTGCAGAGACGGAAAAAACATCTAAGGTGAAGCACCGTCTCTGGATTGCAAGGCTGAGAAAAGAATAAATGGCAAGGGGAAAACCTCCACTTCAAAGCATGTAGAGATCTTTGTTAGCAGTCTATGTGGTGTGGACCATTGTCTGTCACAGCCTGGTAGCAAGGATCATGGCATATAATGCATGTCCTTCCTACGCTGGCACTGGCAGTGCTGGTCTCTGTTTAAGGCTCTAACCTTAACCAATAAGGACATTCGCTGTGGAAGGAGGCGAAATGGCCTTCTTGGGAAACTTACAAGTTCTGAAAGAAGCTTCTGCACTGCTGACAAATTTTCATTTGAACAGATTGCTCGCAAGTTGTCTCCCACTCCTTCCTCCTTCTCCTGAAATGACTTAGTTGAACTCTGGACTGTTTCTCAGGATTAATGGTTGCACAAAAAAAGAAAAGGCTCTTCATCCTACATAAATGCTACAGCTTCTGCCTTTATCTGTTTTAAAGATAGCACATAAAAATTATCTTATATGAGGTAGTTTGTAATGAATTTAACTTAGGTACATTCACCTTATATCTGACAGGCATGTTTCTGTTGTTCACCCCCTATCAGAAAGGTTATCTGACCAAAAAAACAGTCCTGAGGGGTTTTCTGCAGTGATACTTATTTCCAGTGTGATTACCTCTCCACTATGACTGATGGCAAATACCAGTGCCAGCATGAGGCAGTTGACAAGGATTACACCCTTCAGCAGCAATATGGACCTCAGTAGGCTTAGGTCAGGTAGAGCGGTTGTGAAAACACGGATGTAAGCACAAAAAGCAGTAGGTGAAAAGAAGAGGGAGAAGCATAATATCCACCCAGACAGTACCTATCTTTCAAGGAATGCACAATAAAGAACTTGGTGTGTTTTGTACAGATTTGGATTCAGTGGGATGCAGTAATTTCAGCTTTGACCGAAATCCATTTTTGACTTAAACTCATTTTTGGTTCCCATTCATTTCATTTGAAATCAAAGCTGTCTAGGCCAATCTACACATTTCTATCAGAGACGTATCAAAACTTTCCTTTGTGTGCTGATCCCATCTCTCTACATATTAAGCTCAGTTATCTTTCAGATTTTAAAACCTAAACAACACTATGAGTCATTATTCTGCACTTAATTTATTTGTTAAAATTCTCTTCTTCTTCAGCCTAAGATAATGATGTGGAAGAGTGAGACTACATTCCAGCTGATGCCTGGAAAGACATCAAACGTATGTGCTTGTGCTTTAAAGGCATCTCTTCTGCTTGACAAAAAATACTATGCCAGCCATAGATTATACCAGCTTTGTTAGAGAACTCTTTCAAAAGAGCCCTTCAAAATGAAATCTCTAAGGCAAGGAGGTGGGAAAACAGTTTTGTAGTCAAAAGACTTGCAACATTATGTGTAAACGGCAGAAAAAAGCTGTAAGGGAAATAATGAATCAGTACTTTGCTCCAACTCTCTTAAAGTTTTCAGGTGATGTTCTAAATTATGGCTATTCAATTTATATTAAAGAACACATTCTATCATAATAAATACACACATGGCTATTTATACATTTTTCAAATGGTTTAGAAGAGTATTCATTGTTAACACACTAACTTCTGGGCAATTAAATATAATGTATTCATCATTCATTATCTGCAACTTTTTCTGATCTTGTTCTCAGAGAACTGCTCTATCCTTGCTGGAAATGAAAAACTGAGTTTTCAGCCTCTCTCCTAGCCTTACAGTGAGTAGGAAAATTGCTCATGCTCCTGACAACAGCAGGGACAACAGTGACAGCCTGTGTTCCACTCTATGCTCAACATGCTACACATATTGAGCCATACAGCAAAGTCATGTATCCATTGCTCTGATGCTCAAAGAGAAATAAGAGTGTTCATTAAAACAGTTTAACATTTCCTTCACACTAATTAACTACCTAATGAAGATTATAGAAAAGACAAAACTAGATTCTTTGTGAATGTGCACAGCAAAAGGATGAGGGGCAGTAAACAAAAATTCACAAAGCTACTGGATATGCACCTGAGTAACTGGATCTATAATAGTTGGCCCTGCTTTGAGCTAGGGATTGAACTAGACACTGAGCCTAAATTCTCCGTCCTTGCAGACAGCCATTTTGGTACCCAAAACAGCAGGAAAACTGCTGCTCAGTGCAGACTGATGTGCTGAAACAGTGTCCAAAGAAACAATTCTTCCTCTCTTGCTAAAGTGTTCTTTGGTACACACTCATATCTGGGATGAAAAGGATCCCATAAATACAAAATAATAAATACAGGCAAATACCGTGATGGATAGTTTTAAAAGAAATCAAGTTTCTAGCACAGAAAGTAGTTTTCAGGCAAAATTCTTCCATGAAGAGATAGGATAGTTGCAAACTGCTGTCATATGAAAGGACTACTCCACAAAACAACATTGGTTCCAATGCACAAGGGTTTCATTATCAAAAAAGCCCTGAGGTAAATTCATAGCAACTTAACTCAAAAGGCTGCAGATCGTCTTTCCCACTCCTAGCAAGATCATGGCTAACCAGTTAGCAAAGATTAATTAAGAATATCAAACACGATTATTTTCAAAAGGGTCACCTGAAATGTCTCAGTACTATTTCACATCTTTTCATTTTTAGCCAAATGCATTAAGACCACTAATTATGCAATGGTTTTCCTAAATGTTTCATTTTAAACAAGACCTGCAGAATCCAAAAAAACCCGAAGCTGCATTTGCTCCATTTCTAAAAACAAGCAGTAAAAAAAGACTGTCCATAATCTAGCAACACAGATTACAATATTCTCATAATCATACAATATTGATATTTTCTGCTCTGTCCTATCAAATATACTACAAAACTTGAACCTGTCATCTCAAAAATATTACAGACGATGCTGTATTACGAAGGCAAAAAACCTGTAAGTATAATATTATACACAGACTAAAAAAAAATATGATGGCAATAGTGAAAAAATTTGTAATAGCAGCTAAATTACCATTTGCTGCTGCAAACAGTAATTATATTCACTAAAAACTTACAGGACTTCTATTAGCAAAACAATTCAAATACTACATTGATATTGGAATAGTAAACTATTTATTACAGAAAAAGAGTGAAATTCCTCACCAATTTCCAACTCTGGAAAGCAAATACTGATATCTGGAGTACAGCGTTCAGGCTTGGGGCCCCCAGCACAGGAAGGATGCAGAGGTGTAGGAGTGGGCCCAGAGCAGGGCTACAAATCATAGAATGGGTTGGAAGGAACTGGTTCATCTAGTTCCAGCTCCCCTGCTACAGGCAGGGACAGCTCCCACTAGACCACATTGCTCAAAGCCCCATCCAGCAGATCACAAAGGGGCTGGAGCACCTGTACTATGAAAAAAAGGTTGAGGGAGCCAGGCTTGTTTAGTTTGGAGAAGAGAAGGCTCTGAGGAGACCTCACTGCAGCCTTCCAGTACTGTAAAGGAGCTCATAAGCAGGAGGAAGACTTTTACATGGTCTAATAGTGATAGAACAAGGGGGAGTTGCTTTAAACTAAAAAGGGAAAAAGTAGGTTAGATGTTAGGAAGAAATTCTTAACTCAGAGAATGATGAGGCACTGGCACAGGCTGCCCAAGGACGTTGTGAATATACCATCCATGGAGGCATTCAGGACCAGGGCAGCCTGATTCTAGTGAGTGACAGCTCTGCCCATGGCAGGGGGTTGGATCTAGATGATCTTTATCATTCCTTCCAAAGCCATTCTCCAATTCTATCATAAAGGAATAGCCAAGAGTTGTGGGAAGTGCAAGAAATAATTGTTTCACACAAAAGATAGAGTTAGTGGGTACAAACTATACACGTTTTTTGTTTTTCTTATAATAGTGGTGCACAGTTATAAGCATTCTGTTTTTGTATGGCTAAAGTCTCTCTCAATTTAAATCTAATAGGTTTCATCTTAAGTTACAGTTGTTAGATATTATTGAATTGCTAGGACAGAAATTCATTACCTCGTAAACTGATCAATACTTTTAATTAATGGACAAGTACTTCTTAGCCAATATCAGGTGATTAAATATTCTGACCTAAAAGTTAAGTCTAATACAGCAGATTAAATAAATAAGATGTCACTGTGTTAAACTGATACCAAAAACAACTGCAGTGTTTTGGTACTCTGCTACATCAATAGGTTCTTCTACCCTAAGAGTGAATGGTACATACAGGAAATATGGGATAGTCCCCACTTCCTCAAATGAGGCTGCCCCTTTTCCCAGACAACTGCTGGAGCATACCAAAATATACAGTTTCAAGTTAGTGGTTCCTGAAAGGAGGTTAAGTCTTTGTGTGAGCATGAAACAAACCTTTATATTATCTACTAGTTTTGTTTGTGCTTCTCATTGGGAGATGGTGTTCTTCAAACACACATAGGTATCACTAGAAAGATCAGACTGCCTGGGAAGTCAAGCAAGGACTTAAGCAACCCATGAAAGGTCCAACAATTCAGATGTCTCAATAATGCTAAAGAACCACAGCAAACAGAGCGAGATGAGATCAGGACAACCAACTGAAGGGAGAAAAGATAGTGAGTGAAGAACGTAAAAAGCTACTTCATCTGTCAATTGGTTTTTATGTCCCAGCATTTTCATTAATGCTTTATATTACTGAAATTTTGCTGAAAGAAATTAACCAAAATTGAATTGGAGATGAATGTTAAAATTACAGAGGACTGAAAAGCTATCAGGAATGCCAGTAAAGCAACAGAAAAAGCTATTTAAGTTTAGAAGCCAGAATCAGAAATTCGATTAATATGATTCTACCTTTTTGTGTGTGTGTGTGAAAATGTGTTTTGCTTTATTTCTAGTCATAAAACACTTAGCATTTCCCAAACTGTAGTATATTGCAATTTGAATTTTGAAATTGGAAAAAGAAAATTTAAAAAAAAAAAAGTGCAGTTTGAAAAACAAGAGGCTTCAATTTCCCTTGCAGCACATAACAGTTGTTCACAAAAATACTACTGAATGTTCAACTATCTTAAAATTTATTGTTGAAAATCTGAAAATTATGTTTAGGCACTTACATGCAAATACTGGATTTCAGTCCACATTTATGCAATGGCTTGAATGCATTTTTAATTGCTGATTTACTACTAATGCTCCTGTAACATCATTAACCTTCTTAAGATTTAAAACTCATCATAAACATTTATGAAATTCACTTCACAAGATCATGGCAGGGAGGTTTAAAAACACATTAGCATACAAGTACAACAACAAGGGCAAAACATGTCATAAAACTATCAAAAACATATCAAATATGGACAGTTAAGCTTATTAGCACTTAAAGATTGCAAATAAATGTGCATAAATTCTCACAGTAACATTACATACAATATAATGCATACCACCCTGCAACAGCAGCACTGAACAGAAAGAACGCAACAGGAAAGCAGACAACTGCTTTTCTCCAAATTCACGTAGTACCCATTTTTGTCTGTGCAATATGCATGAATTTTTCTAAATAAATGGGTTATGAAGAATTTGGTACATCTTTAATTGTTGAAGACAAATGCAAATATTGGAAATAATTCAAAAGCTGTAAATCCAGTGATAGTTCTCTCCAAAAATATTTTAGACACTCACTTCCTTTGTTCAGTTCTTTTTGTAGATTATGCCTGCTTTTTACCAAGCACTTACAGATATTACTGCCACACAAATACTTAGTTAATCCTATCTCTGTACTTTACAGATGGCAGGAACAATATTTAATGTTATGATCTGTTAAAACTACTTATATTTAATCTCAATGCTATATTATCATCTACTACAGCATATTTATTTTTAGATTTATATCTGTCTGTATTAATTGTACTCAATTGCATACTGCCACTCAAACTGAAAATTTAACAGCACCTTTATAGTATGGTACATTTTTTCTGAATGTGTCAAGATTCAATAAATGCTGTACTTAACAAAAGAAATGCTCTTCTTCACATTGTCAAAATACAGAAAGTAGCCCAGAAAATCCTCTGCCAACACACATAATTGTGATAATACTTACATATCTAATGTTTTATATCCATTTATCAATGCACTAGCCTAATGTATATTTAGAAGTTAAGTAAGGTACCTTATCTCCATCTGTATTGCCTATATCTACTGGGCTAACCATGGCCTCAATATAAAATATATATTTTATATATTATATATATTTATATATAAAATAGATAAAATATTGTCCTCCTCTACTTTGCCATAATAAGGGCCCCAGTTGGAGTACTGAATTCAGGCCTGGGGCCCCCAGCACAGGAAGAATGGAGCATTGTAGGAGCAGGTCCACAAAGATGATCAAAGCACCTCTACAATGAAGAAAGGCTGAGGGAGCTGGGCTTGTTTAGCTTGGAGAAAACAAGCTTTGAGCAGACCTCACTGCAGCCTTCCAGTACTCAAAGGGAGCTTATAAGCAGGAGGGAGCCCTATTTTTTTACCCAGTCTAACAGTGACAGAGCAAGGGGGAATAGCTTTAAACTAAAAAGGGAAAAATTAGGTTAGATGTTATTAAGAAATTCTTAACTCAGAGAGTCACCACTGGCACAGGCTGCCCAAAGAAGCTGTAGATGTTCCTTCCATGGAGGCCAGATTGAATGGGGCCCTGAGCAGCCTGATCTAGTGGGTGGCAACCCTGCCCATGGCAGGAGGGCTGCAAGTGGATGATCTCTTAGGTCCCTTCCAACCTAAGCCATTCCATGATTCTATGAATACTCAAAAGAATACATATTGTTTTAAAAGGAGTCGTAAGTGAAAGTTGTTATGGTACTTAAAACCTACAGTAGCCAGTGCTGCAGTTAAAAAAAAATTGTTTAACAAAAGTAATTCCAAAATAGTTATATGGCAGTCATCACACATACGGTCTTTAGTACAGCAGTCTAGAAACCTAGGCTTTGTAACATTAAAGTGACATTTTCTGTTTTACACAAATTAATTTCAACTTCCTTACCTTATTTACTTCCATGATTTCCCTTCTCTCTTCACTAGCAAAACGAAGCTGACTAGCAGCACCACGATCATCATGCTTAGAGCCATCTTCTTCAACGTAAGGAATAAGTTGCTAAGAAGACAAAAAAAATCAGCTTTTAAAAAGAAGAAAAAAGGAAAAGAAAAATCGGAAAAGGAGAGGTACTAACAATTTCCTTCAAAGGAAGTTCTGTGCTTCAAAAAGACATGACAGCATATATTGTCATACCTAGACTGCAGGCAGAGCACAGTATAAAAGTTTTAAGAGGTTAATCACTGGTAATCCTTGTATTCTTGAACTCTATGGACTGTGATTTTAAAGTTTACTACTCCACACTATGAAATAACACAAACATGAAGTTATCATTATTATCAAGTATTTCAATGATGTACTAAATATAATTTATGACAGACTTTACACATGGAGATTAAATACTTGGTTAATACCCTAATTATGACTTGCTATTTTATTGGTCTTCTGTTTGGCTGTTCTTAAGATCAGGCCCACAGTTATATAATAGGAATTTCTCCATAGGGATTTTCCACTGTAATCTCCTCAAGCTCATAATGCACTGCATTTTTTTGGCAAGCTTTTGAGAAGTCAAAATCTTCAATAAAGAATTTCTAAATGAATATTAACGTATGTTCTTCTTCTAAAAAAAGTTTTTTTAAAGACTCAGGAAATGTACTAGCTACGAAACACACACATGCTTTGTGTCAAAACTTTTCCAAAGTAACACCTTGTTCAAAAATAATTATAACGTACGTACAATTTAAACATAACATACACACATGGAATCTGTTGAATTTTCTGTCCTTAACTGAGAAAAGCTGAAGCTGATAGCAAAAGTACATCCTTGATCACATCTATATACTACAGACAAATGAAATATTAGTAAGTGATGCAAATGAGCATGACAGTTCAAAAGTCAGGAAACAGGTTGCTGATATAATGCACATTAACTTGTTACTTAGGTTGGGGTGTAATATGAAGCATTCAGGAACAACCTTCAGCATTCTGCTGAAAACTCTGACTTAGCTCTGAAAAATCATATTTTCTTCTATATATGCTTTTGGAGGCCATACTCATTAAACTTATTGAAATGGACAAAGAATGCCATGTTAACCTCTGCCCTGTAAAGCAAAAGTAGTGTAGCTATTAAATACTCTTGGAAAAAGCTCCTCCTCTTTCTTAAGAAAAAATAATGTCAGAAAAATTAAAAAAATAATCTCCTTCACAATAATCTTACAGCTTATTATGTTGGCTAAAAGGAAGTTGATAAGATCACCTATTAAACTAGCAGTACACATTAATGAAAGAAATATACTATTTTTATACCAATAGTAATAGACTAATATTAGTAGACACTGACTTAATTCATGGAATGTAATGACACAATTTCTTGCCATAAACAAGAAGCAAACAGAAAAAAAGAGATAGAAAACAACAAAGTGGTTTTGGTAGTGCAAGTTGAGAAAGGTGTAACATCAACCTAAATTTTATAGTCTGGGAATTCAACGGACTGGCCTTGGGATTTCTGCACTAAATGGCAGCAAACTAACAAACTGCTGCACAATGTTTGCAACACTGCAGATAACATGCAGATAAATCTATCCCAGTGCTATCTCATGGAAAGTAAGGAGTTACTTTCTTATATCTTAAAATAACTATTGAAGTGGGTATCTAACTTAGCATTTACTATTGACTACTCAGAATAAAGCACAATGACAACACTGTCACTCATTAGCAGCAGTGATGTTCAAAATGTCAGGGAAGACAGGCTGAGGAGGTATGGATGTACATATATTTAAAGAGCAACAAAATCTAAGCAAAAATAGAAGTATTCAAGACAAGAGGATCGGTGACAATGGAATTGCACATGTTTTCAGACATCAGTTGTGCCCTTGTAGCCCAGAAAGCCAACCATATCCTGGGCTGCATCAAAAGACACATGGCCAGCAGGGTGAGGGAGGTGATCCTGCCCCTCTGCTCTGCACTGGTGAGGCCTCACCTGGAGTTACTGCATCTAGATGGGGAGTCCTCAGTGCAGGAGAGATGTGGACTCATTGAGTGCATTCTGAGGAGGGCCACAAAAATGATCCAAGGGATGGAACATCTCTCCTATGAGGACAGGCTGAGAGAGTGGGGGCTGTTCAGCACGGAGAAGAGAAGGCTGCAACGTGACTTGACAGCAGCCTTTCAGTATTTAAAGAGGAACTACAGGAAAGAAGGGGACAGACTCTGAAGCAGGCTCTGTGTGAAGAGGGGTCTGCTCTGAAGCAGTGACAGAAGAAGGGGAAATGAATTCAAGCTCAAAGAGGGTAGATTTAGGTTAGACATACAAAAAAAATCTTTTTACAGTGAGAGTGATAAGAACACTCTCTGGAACAGAGATGTGGTTGATGCCCCAACCCTGGAGACATTCAAGGTGAAGCTGGATCAGGCCCTGGGCAACCTGATCTACCTGTAGATGTCCCTGTTCATTGCAAGGGAGCAATGACGGCCCTCAGATGTTCCTTCCAACTCTAAGGATTCTACGATTCTATGATTTTATGAATTGCTACAGAATTAGATCATGAGCCACAGAATAACTGCCTGTCTTGTTCAGTGCAGTATCATTAAGAAGGCTAATAATTGGCAGTAAGGAGGTTAGAGCAGTGTACATATATTCCACTAATGACTTAGAAACTGGGAGTCAGTTAAGTAAAAGAAAAAAGCCATTAAGTAATTTGATTGTTTAAAAAAAGAAGTTTGTCTATATTCGTTAAAGATAAAGGAGAATGTCAAGTCATTTAACAATATGATTGAGAGTATCAATGAAAATTTGAAATTAGAATTTCAGAAAGATGATAAAGAGAAATGATGTGGCACTTTCATTCACCCTGACATGAGGAAAGCAAGCATTGTGTTAACAGTGAATGCTAAATCAGTAAAAGGAAAAAGAATTGCAACTACTGTAATTTTTCACTACAGACTTACTCTAGTAAAACAACCTCTTAAAAGAAAAACTTCTCCTGGCCCTTTTTTTCCCTAGAGGAAATAAACTGGTGAGTGCACATAGCCTGAGGTAAACAGCTAAGATTTTAAACAAAGTCTGATCTGTAATTTGTAGATATAGAAAGATACTCACTTCTATGGGAATAGGATCAAGTCCAGCACAGTTTTCATTACATTTGTCATAGACTAATCTCAGTTTTCTGAAGAGTATTGATAGCTGACGGAGATGCTCCTGTAGTTTTCCCAGTCTGTCTTGATACGTTCCAGTATGATAAGTAACACCATTTGGCAACTTCAGAGAACCAAAACACAAAAGAGTTATAAATATTATTTTCTTTTATAGGGAATAAAAAATTAAGATAAATGAGACAATTTTTGTGCATTCTAATGTAAGACCATCACACTATTCTCACAGTGTGAAATTTCTATTTTCTTTATCGGTAAAAATCTGAATTTTATTTGCCCATCTCATGTGCCAAATCACTGCTCTCAAACAGCTTCATGTCTTCTACATCCTGGTCATTATCAATCTCTGTAACTTCCAGTGAATGCCTTAATCCATGCTTAAGCATGGCTGTTGTTACAATCTGAGACACTTTACACCTGAACCCAGGTCACATTTCAGACAACCAATGTGAATTCAAAGTAATACTCTGTGTATCTACATAAAATAATTACGGAACAAAATTTCAGGAGACATGAAAATACAGGGAAAAGGGGAAAAGGAGTGATTATTTGCATGTTTGTCTCTGAAGTTGAGAGCATGCACTTCTGCTGTCAACAGAGAAACATGAAAGAAGTTTGTATGTTCTCTTCAGTATGTAATCAAGAGGATTCTGTCCACTTTAATAATGAATAGAACATCACAATATTTTAAATGGAAAATACTACAGGAGAATGATATCACTGATCAATGATAACTCCTTTAAAATTACTCCCTAGAGGTTAACTAAAACAGAGAAACATAAACTCCATATAAATACACTTCACTATTCATTAAACAGTAATTAAGTGTATTTGGAATATATTTACTGTGGTAGAAATGACAATTCAGCATTTGTGAATGTTCTCCACGTTCACTAAATACACAGGAACAGCCAAATATATTCAGAGTTGTATATGTGTCTCCAACCAACCCCTTTTTCAAGGCAGTTTAGCCTATTTATGCATTTACATGTCCCAAGCTACCTCCACGTGCACATAGTCACTTAGTAGTAAAAACACGAGAAGGGAACTGATGATCACCAAATTAAAAATCAAAAAGAACTTTTCTCACCTGCATGTTCCTCAGTAACTGGAAGATTTCCATGGTTCGAAACACAATGTCCTGCACGGTCTCCTGGCCGATACGGCACAGAGATGCTGTATTGACCTCCCTAGCTGCCTGTGCCTGTGTTCCTGAGAATGCACCGGGAGGCATCCCTGCCCCGGCCAGAGGTGGGGTTGACATTTCTGGATGCCAGCGGGTCCCACTGAACCGACCTGCACAAAAATAAGGCAACGATGAAGTATTTGTCTGAGCCTATTCTAAGAAACTAACTTCTGGCTATACCGCTCCTCTGCTCAACAGGTTGTCCTGTCTGAGACAAAACCACTCAACAAATATTAGAGGGCTCTGTGTCATCCCTTGGCTTTGGACAGGGCTCCTTAAACCATCACGGCTTTGCTGGGCCTCACGGAGCTGCACGCGGGGTTCTGTCCCTGTGCTACACGGCGATACGGAGGGCTGCCTGATTTCACACACGAAGCCCTCGCCTCTCCCGCCCGGCCGCCCAAACCGCAGCCTGCGGGCCGAGGCACTGCGGGGAGCGCTCCCGCCGCTGTCCTGGCATCGCTCGGCGGCTACGGGCCCGTCCCGGAAAGCAGGCCAGCGTATCAGGCGGTACGCGAGGAACCGCGCGGGCCGATCGAGACAGAGACTGCGCTAAGGCCGCTCACGACGCCGAGCGGCGACCATTACTCACGGGACCGGGGAAGGGCCCGGGGCGCCGCGTTGCCGTGGAAACGCAGAGGCGGAAGCAGTGCACAGCGCCCGGAAGCGCGGGCTACGCGAAGCGGAAGTGACGTCACGGCAGCGGGGCGGGGCTGCGCTGCGCGCAAGGCTGGCTGCCCGCGGCTCGTGCGGTGCCGTTGGGCGGGTCGCTGGGGCTGGGCGTGTCTGTGCGTGTGGCGCAGCTTTTGTATCGAAAGGGAGCGGCTGGGCACACACTGCTTTTGGCTGGTCACGTTGGGAAATCGTTGATTATATACTGTGTTAATTTTATCCATTTATAGGCGTACCACTGCATCTTTTTGTGTAGGTGTATTTTCTCCCGTATAGAAAAGCCTTCTGGTTTCGCAGTATTTGAATGCGTGTAAGATGCTTCTGTGGTGCGTGTCCTGGCTGCTTATGCTACACTAAGGTAGTTCATAGAATCGTTTGAGTTGGAAGGGAGCCTTAAAGTCCATCTATTGCAGCTCCCCTGCTATGAGCAGGGACACCTGCAGCTCCATCAGGATGCTCAGGGCGCAGCCCAACCTGACCTTGAGTGTCTTCAGGGATGGGGCATCTGCCACCTCTCCGGGCAGCCTGTCCCAGTGCCTCACCACTCTTAGCATAACAACCTTTCTTCTTATACCGATTGAAATCTCCCACCTTTTAGTTTGAAACTATTTTCTTTTTCCTATCACAACAAGTACTTGAGTTGGTGCCATTTCAAAGCATGAACAGCGATTCCTGTGCAAGGAAAAAGGAACTCCACCTAAAAGACATAGGGCAGAGTTTGTGAGGGCTGGTAGGTACTCAGTAATCAATGCACTACATGGTGTTTATTGTCTGTCTTTATAATGGAAAGTGAATTTCTTCACAAGCAAAAAATGGGGTCAAAATTTTTCTTTTTGCTGTTGCTGTCTCACCTAAAACTCTGATTTTGACAACAGGAACCTGAAATGCAGAAGAGGGCATTTAATGTAGTTGTGCTGTAATAAAAATGTTATGAATGATCTTTTGTACAAAATGCATTGCATTTGTAGTGCTGTAAAAAAACAAAAAACAAAAAAACAAAAAACAAACAAAAACAAACAAACAAACAAAAAAAACCAACAACAACAAAACCCAGAAATGACGCATAGTATACCACCCTTGTTTAAGAAAGAAGAAAGTAGCCAAGAACTGTACAAGGTTGCTTTCAGAGACATTTTGCTGCAGAAAGCTTTTTTTTTTCTTCAGATTAATGAGGGGAAACACCACCCCATTGCTTAAACTGAAGTTTTTGTTGCCTGGCTACATTCTCTTTGTAGCATGCTCTTTTAGCCAAGGCACAATGTAAATAATTATGAAGTATTTTAACAAAATTTTAACATTTAAAAAAAAAATACAAAAGGAGTGTCTTAAACTGAGTGAAAAAGAAGTGCTCATAAAAATGAGAGGGAGATATTTTCAGACAGCAAAAGAATATCCCACTGCGTCTGGCTAGACAACGCATGGGAAAAGCAGCCCCCAGAGATTTTCTAAGGGCTTATGTTTTACTGTACATTAAGGAAATGATGCAAGAACTGTTCAAGAGCTGAGCACAAAGGATAATGTTTTCCTTTTTTGATTGTGTGCCCAAGAGCTCTGTTCACACTGCTTAACTTGCTGCTCCAAATCCAATGGCATCTTAAGTTCCAGAGAGTAATGAGCGATTCAGACCACCTACTGTTCAGTGCTGCCAGACACAGGCTCCATGTACAGTCAAATACTAAAGTATACGACTGCTACTTACAGTAGGCAGTTGAAATGGAGAGCCAAGTCTGCATGCAAAAAGTGCTGAAGAACGTTGCTAGGGGACCTTCATGTTCTTCACTGCCAATCTATGGAACCCTCTAAGTCTGATTTTTCACTACAAGGAAAAGGAATCTCCTTTCAGATAAGGAATGTTTTTATGGTTGGATGAGAAAAAGATGAATATACATTTTGCTTTCTAAAAAAATCAGTTAAGCTGTCTTTGTGTGCCTTCAGTTTGGTCTTGGACCAAACTACTTTCATCTGGAAGGTGTCCAAATCAGACAGCTCATCTTTCACATCCGTTTCAGTTTCTGTGGCATCAGTTCAACCAGTGTCTTAGGATGCTGCCAACTACTACACAGTATCAAGTCCTTGTTTTCTCTCTTCCTACACAGGGTTGTAGAGAAGCTAACAAAAAACTAACAGAGAGCATGCATCTATACAGGATCTTCTAGTCCTCTGAAGTTTAAACTAAATTTCTAATTAGAGCTTTTTAAAGAGTAACTAGTTCAGAGATTATCATTTTCATAGTAATAATAACTTATGATATTATAGTATTTTAAGAGATTCTAACTCAAACCATGAGCAACTACAAAGTTTGTGTGGCTGTGTTTTATCAACAAAGCAAAAACACTCAATAGAGAGGTAAGAGTATATCTTGTTTTCTTTCCATTTTCTGTAAAACAGTCAATGTGCTTGCAAGGCAGCGTGAATCATTCTATTTAAAAATAAACAGAAGTAGTAGAATTCCTGGATCATCATTTGTTTTGCTTGTTTAAAGAAAAGTATGCTCACTCTCAGGTTCTCCTTGTGGTATTTCTTAGCAGCAGTGCTTTGATACTGCTTCCAGAGTGACAGATGGGCTTTGAGGAGAAGTGTTATCCAGGAAAGGACTTTCATTCTCAGTCCTGTCCCATTCTGTGTTTATGTGTGGATTCAAGGAAAAATAATGGGACTTTCTGGAACCTTAGCCAACAATAAACAGGCAAGGCACAATTTTATTGTTACCAGGCTGTGATAGATAACAGCACAGCACATAAATTTCTTAGTGTGTTTGTGGCCAACACAGACAGTAAAACTGGGTGGAGTTTAATTCAACAAAGATTACATTTATAGGCCAAAAGAAGCATTTAAGAACTGTGATTAGGCGAGGTGGATTGTGGGGTTCTTGTGTGTGTGATTGGGCTTGGAGTGTTGGTTATTTTTCCCATAGTGTCGTTTTCCTCAGTCAAACAAGCATCTCCATCAACTGTGAAGGCAGCAGTTTAGAAGGAAGCAGGACCATCCATGATAGTGCTACTTAACACTTGTAATCACACCACAAAAGTCAGAAAATGTTTTCGTTGGTATTTTATAGGACATAAGAGCTAGTTTCATCTTCCAGTTTTGGTGTGAAGAATGTTTACATGGTAGACCATTATGCCCAGTAGCATGTATTATCAGAGAATCATAGAATCAGTCACAGAATCATAGAATGGCCTGGGTTGAAAAGGACCTCAAAGATCATCTAGTTTCAACCCTCCTGCTATGTGCAGGGTCACCAACCTCTTGACCAGGCTGCCCAGAGCCACATCCAGCCTGGCCTTGAATGCCTCCAGGGATGGGGCATCCACAACCTCCTTGGGCAACCTGTTCCAGTGTGTCACCATCCTCTGTGTGAAAAACTTCCTCCTAATATCTAACCTGAACCTCCTCTCTCTCAGTTTAAGACCATTCCCCCTTGTCCTATCACTATCCACCCTTGTAAACAGTTGTATTCTCAGTGTAATAGTGACAGAAGAGTAAAAAAAGGATTAGAAGGAAGTGCCTGTTCATTTTGCAACCATTCAGTTGCTTGTCTTTGAAGAGACATCTTGGATTCCCAACATAATCTCAACATTGTGACGTTAGACCCAAACCCACCAGCAGGCCTATCCTGTCTCCTTTTGTCTCTTTCTATCCAGCTCCTCTTCCACAGCCTATAGGTATATTAGTGCTCTAAATGCTGACACAGCAAAGTACTCAAGCACAACGGCATCATTTCTTTTTCTTTTTGCCTCAAAATAACTTTAGACAGCATTTGACTTCTTGTGATAGACATTCAGATATTTTCCCTGGTACTATTTTTTCCTGAGCAAATGGTATCTTGTGGGACTAACTGTTTGGACAAGGAGTTTTTCCAAATTGCATTTTATATAAACTGTATGTCTTCATCAGCCAGATGTGCATTAATGATGCCTGTGGTTGGATTTTCAGCATGCTTGTCTGATGGCTTCTCCTGGGGCTTGCACAAAAATGGCTTGGAAATGGAACATTTGCAAAGAAGCAGATGCTGGCAAAAGAAAGCATTACAATGAGATGTAAAATATGTGCACTGTAATTTATACAGGCAAGTAGCTTCTGGAAAACTTGACCTCTGTCCAGCAGAGGACAGAAACCTATCCAAAGAGACCTCCGAAGCAGTGACTGGTACCCAGTGGGACAGAGGTGGAGGGACTAATTATATTTTTGCAGCTGTTACACCAATGCTGGAAGTATGTTAGTGACAAATGACTTTGTGGTGGACAGCACAGTAGTTAATATAGGACAAAAGCTACTGTACACTGTAGTTTGACTGCTTATGTGCTATTAGCATTATAATCAGGTGTGCAAGGATGACTTTTCTCTTCAGGGGTCACTGCTAGCATGCAGTTTCCCACTGACCCTCTACAGTTGGAGCCACAGTTCTTATTAAGGTGCTGACAGATTATATTCCTGTGTCTTACTCTGTAGAAGGATAGAGAAGGATCACGTACTATTTCACAAAATATGTCCTTGTTCTGTAAAATATCCATGCTGTGCTCTGTAGTAGGTGATGTTTTGTCCTAGACTCTGACAGACGCAGCAACCTGGGGTTTCTTCATCTGCTTTTAATGATTTATTTCTTTCTCTGATTGTAAACCACTAGTAACAGGTGAAAACTTTATCTGACTTTATAGGAACAAGCCCTTGCCACTGTCAGTTGGAGGGGAGAAAGGGGAACCACCTGTCCATCACCTGCAAAAAATATTTGTATTCTTAAAGTACTGTAAGCCTCATCATTGTTTTTTTTATCTCCAGCAAGATATGTTTTCTTTCATCTGTAACTTCATTTTTATCAGCAAAAGTAATTGTGTTTTATTCTGTGTCAATCTATTTAGATTCCGTGGTTTCCTTTCTTACAGGTTCTACAACTGCTCCTGCATGAGAATCAGATATTGCCTGCAAATTTGGATGGCATGTAAAACAGATATTAAAAGTGGTAAGATTGTCCCGTCTAGTGCTACAAATCTAGTCCTGGGCGACTTTCTGGTCAGTAGCTCCATGCATCTGCGTATAATCATTCATTGAATCATTTTGCCTCTGTTACATCCTCATTTGGACATTTATTCACGTAATCTATTCACCACAAGATGCATTTTGCTCATCTTATTTTCTTATTGGTAGCTGTAGAATGATTTAAAAAGAAAATGACATGTTGTTTAGTAATGGCAAATACATTATGGTAGCAGTAGGAGACTCCAGGGAGAAGCATAACATCATTCTACTGTGTGAATGCAGAGAACAGTCCCTGTTCTAAACAGTTTGCAATTCAGAGATTGTGTATTTAACAGCGATGAAGATAGATAAAGGAAGGAACTGATAGCTTCTGGGTAAGTTGTTTGGAGCGTCCTAATTTACCATGAAAGAAGTCAGCACTGTAGATGGTGTTACAGGAAAAGTTATAAGGACATGAAAGATATGTAGTGCGGATCCTGTCCACAAAAGCCATCATCTCTCAATGTAAGTCAAATGCCACTTGTGTCTTCTCAGTGATATAAGACTATGCGAACTAGGAAATGGAACAACAGATAGAAAAAAAGCATAGCTGGAGGCAGATGTTTGAAAACAAATCATCCCTCCAGGCTGATGCACTATTGCAGGGTTCCTGGATTGACTCACTGACATAATTTATGCAAAACTTCTGGCCATGTTCCCTCTGTGTAATGTATTACAAGTGATACATTGCAGAATTGGGTGAATTTCTTGTATTTCTCTAAAGTTTTCTATCTTGTTCCTATATGGCCTTCTAGATGTATCTCATAATTACTCAAAGTAGTTTTCCTATAGTAGCGTGGAAGCTAATTGCAACACCTGGCCATTTTTACTGACCACATTCCCAGCTATTGCAGTCTTAGACAGTTGCAAAACTCATCATCTTGCCTGGTCTATAGTAATTGCACTACTACTATAGTAATTGAGATTTTAGGCTTTTCCTCTTTAACACTGTATATCCCAATTTTATTGTGGAGTGTTGGAAATTGTTTTGTAGCTTACAGCGTATACTGTGTGTGAAACAGATGTTCAGTAGACTCTATATGGCTGCAACTGTCTTAATAAACGTTCACTGGGCTTCTCTCTGGTGTGAGGCCAATTGGCATGGAATAGGCCACATGCATACTGTTTGACTCTTAACTTTGGAAAAGAGTAGCAACAGATGTACTACCTACTGGGAGTGATCACTGTCTCATGTTAACTTCCAGACAGTAGGTAGTAGAGTGCTGGCTGAGCAGGGCAGACACAGAATCACAGATCTGCAGAATTAAAGGGGCTGGAAAGGACCTCTGGGGATTGTTTTGTCCGATCTCCTAGTAAAGCAGGTTCCCTACAGTAGGTTTCACAGGAAAGCATCCAGGTGAGTTTTGAGTATCTGCAGAGGAGACTCCGCAACCTCTCTGGGCAGCCTGTTCCGGTGCACTGTCACCCTCAAAGTAAGAATTTCTTTCTCATGTTCAGAGTGAACCTCTTGTGTTCCAGTTTGTGCCCATACCCCTTGTCCTGTCACCAGAAAGAGCCTGGTCACATCCACTTGACACTCATGCTTTAGATTTTTATAAGTATTGATAGGACTTCCTCTCAGTCTCCACCAGGCTGAGCAGTTCCAGCCTTTCCTCATACAGGAGATGCTCATTATCCTTGTGTCCCTCCATTGGACTCTCTCTGTAAGTTACCTGTCTTTCTTGGACTGAGTAGTCCAGAATTGGAGACAGTACTCCAGATGGGGCCTGACCAGGGCAGACTAGAGGTAGTGAACCTCCCTTGACCTCTGGCCATACTTTCATAAATGCACTCCAGTCTACTCTTCTTTATGTAATGCAGTCTCACTTTAAAATGTACCCATAATAAATGTTTTTTTAATTTGTTCTTATAACCAATATCTTTGAAATGCAAAATGAAATGGAAGAGAAGAAGGCTATTAAAGAGGAAATCTCGTAATCTATAGCATTTTAAAAAGGAAAAAAATGGAATTTAGAGGAGTTTGAGTTCTGGTGTTTTTACTATTATTTTAGGATGTCTTTAACATGAAATGTAGCATGAAGGAGCACAGTATCCATTTTCTGTGTGAAGTGAGCAAGAAATCTTATGTTACTTCAGTTTCAGAAGTTTGCCTGTGTCTGGAGGAAGAATTCTTTTTGGAATGCAGATGATAATTAATGACCTGAGATCTGTGTTCTAAGATTACAGCTCAAAAAGGCTTATTAGAAGAGTGAGGATACTGTCATATACAGTGTGATAGCATGAGGGTCTCTGAATGTGCTAATAATATTCCGAGTATCAGAGGATTCCTGCTTTGGATGGGAGAAGCATATTTTCACTCATTTGTGCAAAGGCTCAACCCCAGCCAGTAGCAATACGTCTGCTGGAAATGATGATAAAAGGCAAAAAGGAATCTCAGCCGCACAGCGCTCAAATATTAATTTCTCTGCTTCTTTATCAGGATGTTGTGGATGAGCAGTACAGTGTTGTACCTTTGAAAGGGGCTGCCATAGATGTGCTGTTGACATTGATTCAATACAGGCAGTAGAGGAGCTGCCTCAACCTTAAAAAGACTCATGGCTTATTGTGTATTTGTAGATATGCAAAAAGCAAGGATGCAAGCAGACAAAAGTTAAGGATAAAAAGATGCGAAATTATTTAAAATTGCATGGTACCATAGCAAAGCGTTCTGAGAAAATGCAGCTGTTTTGCATCACTTCCTACTCAAGATATTTGAAGATCCAATGAATTATAAAGGAAATGAAAAACAGAAAAGCACAAGTCCAGCATTCCTGTTCAGCCTTACTCCTCCTCCTCCAGGCGGATCTTAGCTGCTCTGCAGAACTGGCTGAAATATTGCTGCTTTTGTGAATGACACAATACTGTTTTCACATACACTGTCAATGCTGATGAATCATCTTGACTCCAACACTGAATACTGTGACTGTTACATTGGATGGTACTGTGGTGTATCTTCTACTTCAAGTTCAGAGCAGCCATCATGGGTCCATTTAGCTCAAACTGCATGCTTCTTGCAATAACAAGAAGGTTTGGTTTGGATTTTAGAAGACACTATTAAAAATGTAAAAATAAAAGGCCATAAATTTAGGTCTTAGAAAAAGTATATGCCGGAAGTCGGTGAAGATGTTTCCATTGTCTATTTTCAATATTCAGTGAGAACTGCAAATGTGGTGTAACCAAATAGAGTTGGTTGGAAATCATATTCTTATTTGTTTTTCATTTATTTTTAACCTCTGAAATCAGAAAATGTCTTTCTGAAAGCACTCATCTTTTGATACATGATGGGAGGTATGACTGAAGACATTCAACTGAAAAGAAGCTTTTTGTTAAATGAAAGTTTTGGATGGAAAGTTTCTGTCCAGCACTATCTCAGTGACATATCACATAGATTTGTGATAACAAGAGGAAAAAACTATCACTGTGAAGCAGACCAGAAAATAGCAGCACAAAAATAAGCTAATTAGTTTGATAGCTCAAAGGAAAAGAAAAAAAAAAAACAACAAACATGATAAAACAAGCTAACAGAATGCTATTAGAGTGTTATTGGCACATGTGGCAAGTATTGTAGCTTAGGGATAGGAATTACAACTTTTAAAATGTTATGGTAACACTAACCCTTTAAAAGAAGCCCTTCCAAAAAGCATTAGGAAATGCCACCTGTGTGGTTATTGACTAAAGAAAGGCTCAGACATTAAAACAAATATGATCTCTTGATATGATGCTTCTAACAGTAACAGTTCATGCATAGTTCTAAGACCAAAGAGATGATATAAATGTGTAGAAAATCAGTACTTTATTGTATAGAATTATTTTTCCATTTTTAACTTCAGCAGATATTACCTCTAGGTGTCATTGTGTGAGCTGAAGATCTTCAGACCCATATGCCCTTATTTCTCATATGCAGATGCCAAATTATTGTATGTAAATAAAACATTAAAAAGTTAGTTTTTTAATTCAGAAAAACCTGTAAAATCCATTTTGCAGCTTTAAGAGGAAGAAAGTCTGAGTATAGAAAGAGTGCTTACAGGTAAAAGTCAGTGCCATGTTGCTACTCCTGCAGTTGAGATGAAAAGAATATTTAGTTTCATTTAGAACGATTATAGTTTACTGTTATAAGCTCCACACACTACAGGAAAATCCTTCCCTTTGACCAGTAAATACAATGCTTTCAAGTAATCCTTTTTGTTCTTTCAGCCTGAACACATCTTCCCAACAGAGATGCAACTCAACCATCCCAACTTTCTTCTTCATCTTAATATTCAATGATAGAATTGTATTTAGGGATGCTGCTTCCTTTAGTGCCAGAAGTGATAGAGCAAACATACAGTATTAAGAGAGCGTGGGAAGAGGTCCTTCAGCAGCTGATATCTGCTGAGTAATAGCTGCAGGCATGAGGGGAATTAAAAGCTTATCCTCAAGCACGAAAAGAAGAAAACTACAGTGCGAAGGTCAAGTCAGTGTTTCATCATTTGTCATTTAAGTTGAACTGTTTTTTTAAATCCATATCTTCTGATAGCATGAAATGTGAAGATTTCTAAGTGACTTATCTTTTGTCTATATGGCAGTATATGACAGCAGTGGCAGTATCTTGTGATTAATGTCTTCGGGGAAGTGGATAACAGGAGGAAAAAATGTGTATTGGGGTTGATGGAAATTGTCCTGGTTCCACTGATGTCAAAGAGCCAGCTATCAAGTGGCAGGGCAAATTTACATGAGTGGAGGATCTGTGCCATCCTGCATTTTATTAACTGACAATCCTGACTGAAAGCTAATGAGGGTGAAGCTTTAAAGACTGGATTTTAGCAGATTCGAAGTGTGATCTGCAGAATCAAAATCTTGGTTTTGGAAATTTTGGAAAGTGGAATTGATGAGCTTGGTCCAGCTGAGAGTAAATAAGGGGCTGTTTCTAAAATGCATATTTTTGCTGGGGTAACTCTTTGAAAT